TGTGTCCTTCATAGTAAGTGTTCTCTTTCATTTATGAATTTAAACTGGTTGAGCTTTTGTTTTTTTAAAATACACCAATTGGAAACTTATTCCTTGTTATTTATTGGTATAAAAATAAAAACAATTTCATTAAAATTTATACTGTAATGGAATCCAAAACTACAGTATAAAAGTTCTTTCCAGATTTCAGTTTATTAATTCTCTGTTATGATTTACAAAATAGATTTTAATTAATTTTTTTAATCATTGCAATTATTTAAAACAAAAATTCCATTTTGAGTCAGTTTAGAACTCTTAAAGATGAATGAATATGTTCAAAAATATTTACATCATTTTTCCAACTTAAATTTTAGTAAAATCAAAGCATTACTTACATACTTATTTAATACTTAAATTCAAATCATTAAAAATTTATAAATAAGTAATCTTGTTAACTAGTGAATTGAATAAATGAAAACAATTCAATCTCATCCGATAAAAATATTTTATTTATCAAATATTTTTGGCTGACAGCTGAAAACATTTGATAAAATATTTCTGCTAGAAGAGACTTGAATTGTTATCATTTAAAAATCTATTGTTGCATCATAAACTAGTAAGTATTTTCATTTTGCAATTAATCACTATTTCCACAACATTCTCAAAAAACTTGCCAGAATAATTACCAAGCAATACATGCTAATGTAAAATAGTATGTTAGCATTATCATATGCTTTGTTTTCCTTATATTTTTAAAATTATAAGTAATATCAATGGAAATAAAGAACAATAAACAGTGTGTAATGAATGTGCTTATCAGCTTGTGAAGCAATTTTCATAAGACACACAATGAATACTTAGGTATTGAAGATAAAGTATTAACTTTATCAGTCTAACTTTATTATGATATGACTTCTAATTAAACTGTTTCTATTTTTGTGCTGAACAGATGTTAAAAAGCAATAATCTACATGAAAGGGAAAACCAGACTAAGAAAATTTTTAAAACTATACATTGTAATTTTGCTGAACTATTAAATTTACTCTATTTCTTTAACATATTCTAAATTCATAATTTCTAAATAATTAATGTGTTCAAGTTTTAAATAATATTTTCGAAACTTACATCAACAAAAAAATTACATGAAAAAAATGTCAATATTATCTTGCAACAGTCACTGCATATGCATACATTTATACTTAAACGTGCACGTTTCTATGCTTGTCAGTTTTGAATAATATTTTGGATTCATCAATATAGTTACATTTCCACACACCCTTTTATTTACATAAAAGTAATCAATAAACATTGATTTGTAGATAACGGAAAATTTATGATATCATTACACCACAAAATCCTAATTTTTTTTTCTTTAAAATTATCATCTAAGTCTTAAGGAAATGTTTGGTAAGTTTTTTGGAATATTTTATTTTAATAATGATATTTTGTATCTTTATCTACTTAATATATATAAAATATAATCATAATTTTAAAAATTCATTCTTTCTAACAGAATTTGATTCTTTTTCTTTGATAACAACGATTCAAATATGTTAAAATTTAAATTAAAACTATAACTTACCATTTAAAATTAATAAAAATCTATCACAATATATCAAATATGAAAGATAAAATTATGCATTTACTTTTTTTGTATTTCTGTATTATCAAAATAATCTAAAGTATCTAATGTCTTGTGAACTTAAAACTTTGTTAAATTAATAGAACTTTTATAACTATATGTACTTCCAATTAATCACTAAAGCAAATTCCTGTAAATTTAAAAACAAAAATACATAATTACCAATTAGAAAATTTGTACAGTTTTATTATTTTTTTAAAATTGATTTTAGATTTAATGGTGCAAATGCAGAAAAATTATCAACTGTTGAGAAAAATAATTATCTAAGTTATATTCTTTTAGATGAACAAACTATCATAAAATAATCAAACTAAATTGTAAAAGTACTTTAAACTTCAAACGTTTTTGATAAAAACATTGTAAACTTTAATAAAATTTATTTGGTAAAAATTTAAAAGTCCAAAATATAAAAATATAAATCTTTCAACATCTGTTAACAGATGTTTACACACTGGCTGATGCTGATAACAAACAGTTCTAGTGAAATGCAAATATTTAACAATTGAAAACAAAAAAGGAAAATGATGAAAATATATTATTATAACTCTGGGCATTCGAAATTAACATCGAAATTGTTTCCATTTCAAAAAGGAAAAACAATCAATGTAAAAATATTAAGTAAAAAATCTAATTTGTTTACCATTAACACTAGAAAAATAATTAAAACCATCAAAAACAAGATAAATTTTCAAAAAAAAAATATTTTAATATAATTCTGAATTAAAGCTATTTAAAAAAAAAACTATAAAATTCGAATTTATAACGCTTGCATTTGTGGCTCTGAAATTTTTTTTAATGCGTTTCCTTCGAACATTTTTAAACAATAACACACAGCTGCAACCACTTGCATATCGCATTTCCCGTCGGCTAACTTTACATTAATATATACATAATAAAAATCTAAAAAAAAAAATTTAACAGGAAAAATTGTAACCAACAGTTCTTGCACGCACGCCATAGAACAAAACACTATTGGTCAAATGAGTCATACGCTGATAATATAACTGTATACATCGATAATGGTTGTTTGGCTCGATGACAAGAAAAAGTTACATACCTAGCACTCAAAAACATATCGTTGGTTGACAGTTATTTCCCCATTCACTTCTAAATTCGATCATCTTCGAAGAACGCGTGCGCACCGCACCTCCTTCCCTGCCTCTGGCAGATAAAGCTTATCACTCGCTACTCGTTCGGTCACGTGACCTGCCCTGTTGTCTACATCCTATCACCATTTACAAAATACGGAGTCTCCTACCAGAATACATTCTCAGAATCGAGCTTCCACTTCTTGTTTTTTTTTTTCTTTCCTTCTTACAACTAATTGCCTCATCGCGTAAAAATCTGACTTCAATTACTTTTTTGACTACGGCTGCTAATAACCGAAATTTCACAATTAATAAACGTGGAAATTCTGAAACTATTGGCGTGAAAAATTTTTTAAATAATAAAGCGTTAAAACATTTAAAAAATGGTGACATTTTAAGCGGGAAACGACTAATTTTAACCGCGTTAAATAGAGGTCATTTAATTCTGCGGCCGTAAAAATGCTATTTTTAACGTTTAATGTAATATAACACGTACGGAATGAAATTATAACTAATTAAATTAATTTCACTCGGTTTATTTTAATTAAACACGCGAGACATCTTTTAAAAGGCATTCCGTTCTTCCTCGAGGTATCAAGAATGTGGTAAAATTATTACCATTTTATTGTAGAAAAATCTACAGCAATCTGAATTATTATTATATATATATTTTTTTAATATAAGATTATGTCTAAAAGTTTAACTATTTTGCTATTCTAAAACTGGTAAATACCCGAACTAACTGGTTTTGACAGAGTAGGCCCTATATGTGGGAAGTTGGGAAATTCCTATTCCTTTTCGAGGGAGTTTAACGTTAAAATAAACAAAAAATATTCAAATTAAAATAGCCAAATTTGATCATCTTCGGTGTATTTCACCTAAAACTAACGCTTTATTCTGAAATAATTAAAAAATTTAAAAAAAAAACACTGCACAGCACTGAGGTCACTCGTAAAAAGGTTTTAATTACTGAAGGTTATTAGTCGTGTTAGTGGCATGATTAATATCTGTTTCAGTAAAACAAAGTAGCATTCATAAACCTTTACCCCCTCTCCTGTTTTTTTTTTCTTTATTTTTTAAGTTTTTATCACTTTATTAAAGGTTTCAAGACATCGGTTCTTTATGTAATGCGTTAGAATGGACAAAATTGTTGTTTGGTTTCTGCAGAAAATAAAATGCTCGACGTGAAATTGCTGATTCAATTGTGAGGTGTTTCAGAAACCATAAACGTAAAGCCGATCGATACATATACCTCAGCGTATGAATTAACTTTCACAGCAACGTGGGTTGTGAAATAATTTTCTAAATAAAACTTGTTGAATAAACGATTCGAATTACTTTAATTAAAAATTCTATGTAAAATAAAATTTATGATTAAAACTAGAAATTAATCCAAATTTATCTGGAAAAGCTCATTTTTGTTTATCTCTTAATGCAATTAAATTCTTTGGACCGATTCTATCATCAATTTCTCAGTTTAAATCATCCTTAAAGGTAATAATCAATCCAAAAACAGTCACATTTACAATCATTCACTTCTTATTAACATATAAAATAAATTTTAAAAAATAATACGGAAAACATAAATCCTTTGCTGATAATTTTATTATAACAGTTATAAAAAAATTTATTAATTTTGAAATGATCGTCGCTAATTTCTTTCCTGTTGACATACGTTTATCGCAGTATCGAATAGCACGATCTCTTACATAAATACGTTATTTGATCGACTACTTAAGTATCATAAAATATATTATTAGAATCATTAAAAGCACAAACATTTTGTTTTTATGTACTTACGACGAACGCATGCCGTCGCCATCATCCAATTCAATTTTATTCTTGGCAATTTTCCAGATATCACAGATGACGACAAATTTATATTACTATTATTATTAACATTTTATTTTGTTAATCAAGAGAAAATTAACTTTTATTTATTTTTCCTAAATATCTTTGGAAAGATGAGTAATTTCCGACATTTTAACTCATTCTGATAGTTAAAAATTTTAATGTTTCAACAGGTCAAGGAAAATGAGAACATTACTGGTCACGACTTCCTTGCCTTTCTTACGGATGTAATGTGAGTCTACAGGCCAGCTGCTTTGTAAGAATATAAGGCACTGATCTTTTATATTTCCAAATAATTCTCTGTACTTTGTTGAAAATGATCTATTAGATTTTTACATAATAAACTTATATTTCAATAAAACAATACTTAATAAATATATTTTCATTAAATGTTTCTAAAATGTAATAGAATTTAATAGGAAATTTTCAATATAACTTACTTTTCTTCTTTTTTTCTTAATGCAGCATTCAATCTCCTTTGAACAGCAGGATTTGCAATCTTTCTTGAAGGGCTCAACTCCTGCCTCGAAATTGGATTAATAACCAAGTGACTCTGTCCGCCAGTTAAAACTGTTTTTGGTCCTTTGTATTTATTAATTTTTCCTCCTTCGTCGATATCGTCTTCGGACGAAGACAGAGATGAATCGCTATCCTCACTTTCTGAACTAGCTTCTGATTTTAAAATTGGTTTTAAATCAGATTCTTCTTTTTCTGCTCGTTTTAAGACGCTTCGTAAAGGTTTGTCTTCTCCATGACTATCCTCTATTGATTTGAGGATTCCTTTTAATTCTTTGCTTAACTCTTTTGAATCTGCTATTTGTGGACCTTCGTGCTTGAGAATACCTTTAATATCTGAAGAGTATGAATCTTTTGTCATCTTCAAAATTCCTAAAAAATGTATTAATTTAATAAATTTAGCAAATTATAAAATTAATCATTATGTTAAATTAGTAAATTAATATTATTATAAAAAGTAACTAAATAAAACCTTTCTGCTTTGCATCGTCGTCCTCCTCCTCGTCTTCACCGTCATCTTCGATTTTATTCATTTGATGACGGCTTTCAAGAACTGCTTTTAACTGGGAAATGCAGGGTAACATTCTCACGCCTTGCCTCTGTAAAACTTCATGAACTGATGTATTACTTGATTCAATAGTAGATTTACTTTCCACTGCACCATCTGGAGATGATAATGCTGCTGCTTTGTCAATCTCTTCAAAAGTTATAGGTTGTGTTTTAAATCTAGCAAGAGATCTATTTCTCCGAGGTGGAGGCCCTGGTTTTAACATTTCTCCTGTAACTTTCTGACTAAATAATTTCATTTTATCAGCTAAACTTAACTTTGAAGGATCATCTTCAGAATCAGAAGCTGGTTGTTTTGGTGGTTCAGGTTGTTTTACTGGTTCAGGTTCTATAACCTTTGCCACTGTTGATGGTTCTATTTCTTCACTGTTTCTCCTTGAACATTCATCTTCAACCATTTTGGTAGCTTGATGTAATTCTTCTTCAGTTATAGGCTGAGTCTGAGATCGTGGTGCTCTTCTTCTTAAATCGATTCGACTCCGAATGCTTGATGGTTTCTGTTCTGTCTCTAATTTTTGGAATAAAGATTTCTTAGCAGCAACACTCATTTGGGATAATTCATCACCACTGGTACTCTCTTTAATTTTTGACTCTTCAGTAATTGTTACTTTAGATTTTGGGCTTGATACTGGAAGAGGTTCTATTTTCTCAACTTCGCTGATTTTTTCTAGAGAAATGGGCAGTGTTCGGTATCTGTCTCCATGTCGTCGATTTTTCTGTTTATCTGGTCTATAATGCTGTGGATATTCAGTCTTTGAATGTTTTGTTTCTGACTTTGAAGGCAATTCTGTCTCCAACTCTTTAAAAATATTGAATGATGTTTTCTTCAATATAAGGGAGCGAAATGCCTGAACTGACTCTAAACTATAAACAAAATAAAAAATTAAATTAAATTTAATTAATACTTGATCCACTTTTACATTTTACAGATTACTGAATTTTTTTAAAATTATTTTTTATTTAAAAATGATTGATATTAAACACTAATTAAAATCTTTTTATAAAATTATCAGATAAAATGTTGTGATATAATATTATAGATTTTTTTTGCTGAATTTCTTGGGTGAGTCAAGTTTAATTTATCAGATAAAAAAAGAGTTATGTTTTAAATAAATATTTTAAAATATTAAAAAAATTAGCAACTATCTTAATATATAGTCAAATTTACTTTACTACAATATTTATGCATATTTATTAATTATAATTTAGTTACTATATCAAAATATTAATTAATATTTTTTAATTTACTATTAATTTTTTTATTATTATTTAAATAATTTTTTATAAAACATGAATCATCACATTACTTAGAATTGAAGTTTTACATGTAATTTATATACAAAATATTTTATTAATGGCTTTCTACAAAAAGCTATTATTACTTTGTAAATTTGAAACTTTTTAGCAGAATAAAAAGGATGTCTCAGAAAAGCAATTCTAAGCTTATATCTCTGGTCTTAACAGATACAGAAGTTCAAAACTTTCATTGTACTAATATATCTAAAAACTTATTTTTTGCATGCTATTTTGCTAATTTAATCTTTCAATTTTACAGATCAAAACAGTCCTAAACTTTAAAATTTAAAATGATAACCTATAATATGTAAAATATCATTTTAAAGGGTTTTTTAATGCTTTATCCAATGATACAATCAGATTTGAAATCATATAGAACATTCAGAAATTAAAATTAAAATACCTTATCTATGAAATTCTATTATAAGTGAAAACAGCAAAATGCTTTCACTGAAAAATTTTTTTTAAATAATAAGATACTACAGAGAAACATTGAGAATCTTTATGAGAATGCAAGAGTCAAGCCTTCTCTCTATCTCTCTCATACACTGTTGACAATATTCTCTACAAAATAAACTTGTTATTTATATTATAGAACTGAATTGAATTAATTTTTTTATCAGGCAGTAATCCTACAGCCAGAAATGGTTACAAGGAAGAGATGTAGCTTCCTTCACTACCAATAATTACATTACCAGCTATTTATCACTAATTTTTCAAATGAGACTTGTTTTGTAAATATTCAAAAACAGTTAGGTATTAAATTTTTAAAAAATCTCACAAAATAATGCATAGATGTAATTCTACTTAAGCTATTTTAATACAGTATAACTTGTTTATTATTTTCTTTCTCTAATTTCAAAAAAAGGGATATTTTGTAATGAAATATCATTTAATATGAAATTAAAAAATTAATGGATTTAAGAAATTAAATGAAAGTAGAAAATTAATTGAACGAATTCACATCAAAAAAATCATTTTATTTACAGAATAGTTTAGCATAATGAGGTAAATTGGAAAAATGAGACAAAATTGAGACAATGCTAAAATTTATTCCAAATTTGATAAAACTAAAACTTTATAAATTTTATCAATATTTCAGTTTGGTAATAAATTATCATCTACAATCAATTTAATTAAGGGTTTTCAAGATTGTGCATGTTTTTTTGTGTTCCAAAAATTTTTTTTCACTTTCTGCTACTCCAATGTAAAATAAAATGCTAGTCATTTTCTTCTTTAAAAAGGATAATATATGTCTTAAATTTTTCATTCAAATTCCACTGACCTGTATCATTAATATACAGCTTACTTAAAAATAGCAACAAAGAGATCTATCAGCTAATAAGTTATAAACTTAGCTAACTTTACAATTTATGCCAAATGACCTGCAAATGATAAAGGAATAGAAAAAACTTTAACCTATTTATAAAGGATATTAATTTATAAGGAAGTAATAATTTATTTTAATTTCATTATTTGGGTGATTGAATTTGTAAAAATTGCTATGTAACATTGCATTATTTGTAATTTAATGCCTCTTTTGTAACACAATAATTATATGCTTTCCTTAAATGCAGAAAAAAGTAGCATTAGTAAACAAGCCAAACTGGTATGCTTCCTTATTAGGAAAACTGGGAAGCATGTTATTTATGTAATAAGTTTCAAATTTAAATTTAACTTTGATCTGAAACAGTTATCAAATAAATCAAGAAATGATAATGAAATAAAGGTAGACTGTCTATTTCTGAAAAAAATTTAATGTGCAAGAATACATTGTTGATATAAGCAGTATTCTTTTTTTTAAAACAAGTATTGCTGGTATACATATATGATGACTGAACTTTTAGAATTGTTTTTATTGTACAACTGTTGGTATCACTCACTGGATATCAATACTTTTTATGCTGTCTGTTGGAAAGAGTTACTGGTGCATTCCAGCTGAAAAATGTCCCTGATATAAGTGAAATTAAATTAAAACTACAGGCATACCTCGACTTACGTCGTTTCGAGTTACGTCGTTCCCGTTTATACGTCGTTTGTCAAAAAAGTATATGGAAAAATAAAAATCGAGTTTAAGTCATTTTATTCGACTTTACGTCCGCCCGCCACAAATATTGAAGTCGTAATATCACTAGAAAAACGTTTAAAGCACATAAAATCATATTAAAATATATACGAATATGTTCTGTATTTACAGTACACGCATTCGTAAATTTAGAATACTTTTTTCTGTACTATATTAAAAACTAAAATTTATTTGTTTGTAAGCTTAAAATAGAGTTTTATTAACCATATATTATTAAAAATGCATTAATAAATAAAATACAGAACAGGGAATAATAATTTATGGTTTAGCCTAGTGACAAGTAGATTCGGAGACAAGTAAATTCGACTTACGTCGTTTTCCTGGAACCAATTAACGACGTAAGGCGAGGTATAACTGTACTGAGATGCCCACATCCACCAAATAAATAGATCAACCAGCATATAGCTCAATCCACATGACCTAGTGTTAAAGAGGAAGTCAAAGTTGAAGACCTCAGGATAGCATAAATGAGAAACAAGTTATTGATTCATTCTTTCTTTATGAGAATGCAAGAGTCAAGCCTTCTCTCTATCTCTCTCATACACTGTTGACAATATTCTCTACAAAATAAACTTGTTATTTATATTATAGAACTGAATTGAATTAATTTTTTTATCAGGCAGTAATCCTAGAGCCAGAAATGGTTACAAGGAAGAGATGTAGCTTCCTTCACTACCAATAATTACATTACCAACTATACTGTACTATACAAATGGTTCTGAAATAGTAACTGACTTGTGAAAAATATTTTTCTCTGATTCCTTAATTACAATCTCAGCTAAAAACAGCCAATAATGGTCAACCTACAAAGACTAGTATTTTACAAATACAGTAGTATTCACTTATTGTTATCAGTCATCTACTGTTATCAGGATTAGCATGCCCCAAAACATGTAAATTAAAATACATTTACAAAACTTATTATGATTAGAGTATGGTTATATTTACATTATCTTCAGATAAAAAAAACAACTAAAAATGCCTATTTATGTTATCAGTCTAATGATGCACATTATTAGCCATATCAACATATGGCTAATAGTGTGCAATCATTATCGCTCAAGCATTAAACTTTAATTGTTTTAGTCATTATTTCCTGAATACAATACTGCTGGCATTTCTTACTTTGATTATATACTAGCCATTGCTAAAGGTAGTACTAGAAAAAAACCCAACAGGCAAACAACACTGTATGAATACTTAATGAATTCTCAAGTTATACATTTTTTTTACTGTTTTAACATGTCCTTTTTATGTCATGAGCCAATAAAACTAGAATTTCTATTAATTGTTGCTGTCTTATTTACTTAAACTGTTTGATGTTATCAGTCAATTATCATCATCAGTATAGACAAGCATCAACATTATTATAATAAGCAGATTATATTTCAAATAATAATCATAATAAAGTAATTAATCAGACATAAATAAATATATTAATAAATTTCAGCTAATTTGTCAAACAACAAGCTATTGACATTAAATTTAATTTTAAAAAATTCCAAATTATAATTATTATTAGAACAACATAAATTTAATTCAAAATTTACTTATCTATTATCCTTGTTCAATTATATTTATGAGTATGATCAAAATTCATAATTATAGACTTACAAGAGAAACTGTCATGATTCACAAATATTATATCAGGTATTACATATTTAGTAACAAACCAACTATTTTGTCAACTATTATACAGACTTGGAAATTCCCAAATTTTTCAATTCAACAATAGATATACAAACAAAAAAGTATATAAATCACAAATAGTTATGAAATGTGGTGCAAGTGAGGTACAAACATGGACAAAACATTTATTTCTCAACATAGTGTAAACAGTAAAGATAATGGCCATTTTGAATTTAAACCTCTTTAATAAGATTTCTATAAAAGCTATTCTGAAATAGTGCTTGGTAGTATTAATACAAGGTTCTGCTGTCAATATATAGCAAAAAGTTCCACAGGTTTTTAGCCATATTGATGTAACTAATAACTATAAATTTTGATAAAACTAATAACTATAAATTTTGTAACTAAAAACTATATAATAAAATAACTATAAACTATAAAATGAAGCACATGGATTAAATGATTGGCATTTGTAATTTCTAGATGTTGGCAGTAAAAAACAAAAAAAAAACCAATTAAAAAAATTCATCAGTATTTCCTAATTTAATCTTTGTTATGCAATAAAATTTTTAAAATAAAAATTTCCTTAAGTGACCAATAACTGAACCATTTACCCTAACCGCATTCAACATTAATACACTTGTTCTATTGTTTCTCCTGAAACCTGCAACATAGAATTAATTTGTCTATTTTCTCAATCATGTCTGCATTTCATTTTTAATTCTTTATTATCAAAGAAACATTTATTATCAATGTTTTTTTAACAAATTGAACAGGTCAAATTCACTTCAGTAAGATCATGGCCTGAAGTGTCTTATATAGGCACTTGGGGCCATGATCTTGTTCAAGGTTCAAGATCTAAGGTGTAAGGCAAATGTTCAAGATCTCTTGAATGTTGCCTTAAAGGCTTTTTGAGACCTTGAATTCTCTCCTGGCATATTTAAGCTGTATGATGTCTAGCATTGTTATGCAAAAGTAATAGTCCTCTTGTCAGAAGTCCCAGAGGCAACCAAGGATGTTTGCACCCAGATGAGAAAGTTAGACATGTTCATTTAGCAGATATATCAAAGTAATACATCAAGAACTATCATGAATTTAGAATGATAAGAATATAAGTATCCCTTAATTAACACAGTTAATCTATCTATCAATGCTACTGCATATATCAAATTCACGTTAATCAAATACAATAGTAGCTTGGTAGTTGAATGAACAATCACCACCCACTAAAACAAATTTTCAGTTAATAACAAATATTTTTATTTTTATAAACAAAAACAGCAAATTCATTAACACCTTATATGCTGAGAAAAGCATATGTATGTCATGTCAACTAAAGACAGCTGTTAAAGCTGCATTAATTAAAACTTCAGCCATGTATAAAAAGGGATTGCTGCAATTAATTTCAAAACATTTTTAAAGACCAACCTCAGGTAGAATACAAAATCAAACTTAGCAAAAATAGAATGTAACAGATAATTTTCCAAACATGGAATGCCAGTTGATTTAAATTAAAATTTAAAATAATAGAATAAAATAAAATAACAAATAAATAAATACATGAATAACAAAAAATACATAATGTAAATAAAAATAAAAAAATTAAATACATGAAGGATAAACAATAAAAAATAAACAATATAAATAAAAAATACAATATTAGCTCAAAAAATCTCTAAATAATAAGACAAATATATACAAAAATAGGTAACTAATATATATGGTAAACATCCTGAAGATGTATGGAGAGTGCTATTATCCCATCTATAAAGATCATGCTACTAGATCTATGGAAATATGGTAACTCTTGTCTGAAACAGAATCTGAATCCATGACTGCTGTTCAATCAACACTGAAGAAAATTGCAGGATTCAAATCCTATAGGTTACACTAGAGCAGCGGTTCCCAACCTTTTTTCATTAGAGTATCCCCATGACATTTCCAACTTCCCACCAACAATGCATGCGCAAATCTTGCACTGCCTGTTTGTAGAGAGTGTCACCACTTTGAATTTTATTTTGACTCAGTTCTCAGTCCCCCGAGTACCTACAAGTCTTTTTTTTATGTGCACATGATTTGGGCACCTAATACTCTGTGCCAAATTGCAACTTCTGACTTGTACTCCTTCATACCTCTAAGCTAGTAACACAGCAGGCAGTATGATTTTATAAATAATAAAAAATTAATAAAAATACTAAATAAATAAGGAGAAAAATTACCGCTTGTAGAGAAAATCTGAAGAATAGCTAGGTCCTTTTCCTTGCTAACAATAAAAAACACTTTTTATAAACAAAAAAATACTTTTTTCAAACAACACGTGGGGATATTGTTGAGAGATAATAATAATAACGGTAACATACCCCACCATCAAAAGTCCGTAGCATAATCACTAATCACGCATAGTGGTATCCCCGCTACCATTAACTGACTGCGAAACATTTATTGATCTGTTGCATTGTACAATCAGCTGCATAAGTTTTTATTTCTATTTTTGCATTTTGAAATGTGTAATAAAGTTTGTGATTATTGCAAGGAACATTTTTCCTAATAATTTTTTAATACTATTAATTTGTGATACATAATATATTATTTTTTCTGCCATAATAACTAACTTTTTTCTGTACCCCTAAACAACCTATCATGTACCCCGGGTTGGGAATCGCTGCTCTAGAGCAGTGATTCTCAACCTTTTTTTCATCACGCTACACTTTTAATAATTTATAACTTTGGCAGCACATATGTTTACTTTGGTAAGTACTGTGAGACAACCGGTGATGTCATAACAGTGATTTTTAAACGCTGTTCGTTATTTAAATCACATTTTCTGAATACCTTGGTAACTAGCAGCAGTTACTGGTAACACCAGTTACAATTTCCAAACATTCCCTAGGAAGGTAGAACTGATTGAACTACTTGTTTGGCGTCACTAATGTGTGCGTATTACGAGTGGCAGCATACTTTAAAAATATCGTGGTACACAAAAGTGCCGCAGCACAATGGTTGAGAATCACTGCTGTAGGGCAATGGTTCTCAACCGGGTTCCATATAACATTACTGGGGGACCACAGGAAAAATAATACCGAACTGGGAGTTCACAGTGATATTTTAGTGGTCTATAGAGTAATTCTACTTCAGAACAATTGTTTTACTGAGAATTAAATTTCTACAGTATATATATTGTCAATTTCTTTATTACTCATTTCTTTCATAAACGTTAAAATATAAATTATTTAAAATATTGACTATGTATACAACATACCGTATTTTTCAGACTATAAGAGACACTTTTTTCTTTGAAAAAGTGCCTCCAAAATTCAGGTGCATCTTATACTTGAAATTAATATAAAAATGTCCAGTGTTTGATTTAAAATTCCCACATCTTAAAATGGCCATATATTTGATGCTGTGGGAAACCTATCTCTATCTGGCAACATTGAATTCAACTGGCAGCAGCAGTGCACCGATATGACAAACATGAGTTGCGGGGTGTTGGGATAGAATCATCTGGACGTACAATTCCCACGCTTTTTCTCTTTTCAAACGAGAAACGGTTGTTGCCATAGAAACTTGGATCACAAGACGACCGGTGGTTCTGAATCCACGACCGCGGATTGGCCAGCGATCATCATGTGATCGCTGGACATCCTACAATCAGCAGATGTCCAATAGCACTACTAAGCGTTGATTGGTGGATCAGCATTTGCTTCAATCTGTATAAAAGTATTCAACTGGGTTCATGCCACCAGGGCAATGTCGGCAACGAGTGCACCGACTTCCTTGTCAAATCTGCCGCCACCGACCAAACCAACCCTGCACATTGAGTATGATAAACTAAACCTAAAAACCATCAAGAAAATCCTTTGGAATGATCTTCTCACCGACTGGCAGCATGACTGGGACTCCAGCAACATCATCACCCATCGATTTCTTCTTGACATCTCCAACAGGTACAGTTACAGGTAGATCATCCCGAACTTTCAACTTACCCAATTCCTCACCAATCACGGGCATTTTCATTCATATCTGAAACGCTTTGTTAATACACACAACAGTGGACTCTGTCAGCTGTCTTCATTATATTCTGGACTGCCCCATGCTGGAGCATAAGAGGCTCCAATTACGTACTATCATCAACCTCAAGCATGGGCATTGGCCTAATAATGATCAAGACCAACTTAATGACCTGGTCAATGATAGGGACACCTTTAATCAGCTCACCATTCTCATCAAGCAATATAACAAAAGAACCAATGACCCCCACCGGTATCCAAGCTTCTAGCTAATCTCCTCTGCTCTGCTCGGCACCTTCCATCCTGTGCACCTGTACATATTGTAGATTTCTTCATTTCTTTCATAATTTGTATTATCTTTATGTAATCACCCTATTCTTACTTTGTAAATGTATATTTTATTGTACTCTATCTTACCATTTATCCCTTATTGTACGCATCTTATATTCTCTGTAGCATTTATTGTACACGGTTTCTTTCTTATTATTTTATGTATTCACTAGTCATTTTGCCTATCATTTGTTATCATTGTCATTCTGTTAACCATAACTATTCATTTGTTACTCTGTTATTGTAACCTTTTGTCATTCATATGTAATGTAATGTAATCCTACGTGATTTGTATTCTGTAAACACTTACTCCATTTCGTACGCGACTCAGATGTAAAAAAAAAAAGTGCCATATCTCGCTCTCTGTAACATTCATCCAGTTGTGCCTAGTGGTACTGGATATGTACTTTAGTACCTTAATAAAATGAATGAATAAATGAATGAATGAATGTATAAAAGGATTGAATTTAGGTGGTAAAAATGGTAAAAATGTTATTTTTTTAAAAAATTGTTTAAAAATTAAGGTGCTTCTTATAGTCCATAGCGTCTTATAGTCCGTAAAATACACTATATATCTCATTGACAAAGGTTAAAGAGAGATTATAAAGCTGGAGTTTGTTAGGAAAATCTTATAACATCAGCATCATGTCACTTGACAGTGACATTTCTGAACGTTTTTCTTTCTTTTTTTTATTAGTGAAAAATATAAAGTTTCTTTTTTTCCTGTGCAATATCTATGAGAGTCCACAAAAAAAATTAAGAAGAAAAGGGGTCCATGGGTAAAAAAAAGGTTGCAAACCACTGCTCTAGAGCATTATTTTCACATTTTGTCTAAAATTTTAATTAGATTATTCTAAATTATCAGCAAATGACAATATGCTTACTTATACCAAATTAGTTAAACAGTTAAATTTAATATTTAATAAATAACACAATTTGACAATTAAAATATCTAACGGTATCTGAATTAGAGCACTAATAAATAAATACTAAATTTAAAAAATAATATACACTAGTAACATGTTGATGTATCAATATAATATATTCTTTCTGAATTCTATAAATTAAAGTTTTTTAAATAATAATATTTTGCTCAAATTGTTTCATCAACTGAATCAATATTAAAAGTCAAAATTAACACTATACCTGTCTGTCTCGTTGATCTCCCCTGATGTTACTGGTTGAGTATGATAACGCGCAACATTTCGCCGATCAAATCGTGCTCTCCAGGCAGAGATTTCATTGCTTGATATTTTAGTTTTCTCTGTGGATTGCATACTTTGCAAAGGCTTAACTTGGTCTTCTTTTAAACTTTAAAAAAAAAAAATGTTGTACATTAGAATTCATTCATATTTATCTAAATTATAAAAATTTCTTTATACTATTTTATTCTAATACATTCAATATATATGGATATAGCTTTCTTACAGGATATTTATTAAAGGTAATTCAAATCTTTTACTTTATTCTAATGTCTTACAATTGATATATTATATTTGATTGTTATGTTTTAAGCAATTAACAAATACTTTATCTTATAAAAATCTTTTTTTTTAATATCATATATGAATAATATGTTTAACATTTAAACATTAAAATTTTATGTACTGGTATATTTATAGATACTAAAAATTTATTTAATCCGAAAGATTATGTCCAAACTTAGCTGTAATTTTTAGTGTGAAAAAACAGATTTCCTTTCATATTTAAATTTATTTTTTAACAATAAATAATTATTTTTGAAAAAGTATTATCTTCTGTTATAGTTAAGGAAAAGGATAACTAAATATTGATCAAAAACTTAATAAAATTATTCAGTATATATGAAAAAATTAAAAAGTTAAAACCATTCTGCTTTGCTTTTATAGTTTAAATTAATACATTATCAAATAAAAATTATGAAATTATCATTTTCATATTTAAATCATTAGTAAAGTTTTATTTTTATTTGTGTGTGTTTGAAAATCCATTAACAGTTTGAACAAGTATTCTACAATAAACTGATATGTTAAAAATTTGGAAATAAGATCAAACAGGCACTTCAATTATTTAATATGAAATTTATTTTTAGAACATCTAAAACATTTTTTAGTTTAACAAACTTTATTTCATCTTAATCTTAATTAGTAAAAAAACAATCTTATATCATTTACTGAATCTATCTATCAATAAACTCTACACTTCTATTTATTGGAGTTTAAAAAATATGATATTTCTACTGACACAATTAAGCACTTTTGGACTTATGTACTGTACATCTTCAGAGTCCAATCCATTATATTCTATTCAAACATTTTTCTGCATTTTTATAATACTTCAAAATCAAGCCAACAATGCACATACTCTCTTCCAATGCCAAATCATTTAACTATATTTTCTTTTACTTTACGTCAATCATTATTCCATCTTTTTTTTCTTTTTTACTCCTTTACCACTCACCTCCATGATGCCAATAAATTATCAATCTCTCACATTAACCACTTCATATTTTAAACTTTCTTCATATATTTTGAACTTTTCCATCATCCATTCCTATCATCTTGAACCAACATTAAGATTTTTGTCCCCAAAGTCTGTGTTCATAAGCCACCAAGCTAAGCATTGTGTTCTTGTTAGCTTTCCTTATATCTTCCTTACAGTAAAATCACTCCAAGAAACTTTAAAAATTGCATTAATCAAAAAATGTCATTTTTAAGATTTTTTGGAGTGTTTTTACTATTCAGCATTGCATTTCTTAATAATCTTCCTCACATTCTTTTACCTGCATTTCTAAATTTTTTCTCATAGCACCTATACATTTTTCTGCCACGTAAACAAATATAAAAACATCTGCTATGGCCTCAGATAAGTTCATCAATACAACTTAGCTTTATGAACATTTTCAGTCTGTTCCTAAGATCTTTGTCAGGTAAAGTCATTCTAAAATACAATGTTCAAAGAAGAAGGCAGAATTCAAATATAAAAATGAAAATGTGCCATACAGGTATGCTATTTGATTGGAAGATTGTTTGATAGCAAAGCATTGTCTATTACTTGTTAGGCCTGTGATACTTGTTTCTTGTGTTTGTTGTTAATATAATTATCCTTACTATTAGCTTTATAGTCATCAAGGCTTCAAAATCTCTCATCTTTTCTTCCCATAGAATGGTTCTTAATAAGAATGGTTGGTATAATAATATTTCCACATTGTTAGTTAAGGCATACACAGATAGGGTGGTGAAACTTTTCCTGTTGGTGTTATATTGTGTTCACTCATTCTCTTCATTAGGGAATGCTGGTAGAGCTTTTAAATTGTGTTGCTGGATTTATCTAAGGCTTTGGAGGATGTTTTTATGTTGATACATTGTCCAGTTCCAAATAAGAGAAGAATTTCATGTAAACAAAGTTTACAAATGAAATGATTAATGTGAGAGATGTTGATAATTGTTGGTAACATGAAGGTGAGTGATAAAGGAGTAAAAAAAAAAAGGGGGGGAAAAGATAGAAGAATGTTGGCAAAATAAAAATAAAAAACAGTTTAATGAAAACATACACAAATATACCCAAAACAGTAAAATAAATAAAAAATATTTACTGATGCAAATGTTTTTATCCATTTCTAACAATCATCATCAGGTATATCATAATGAATACCATACAGAACAGCATTAAGCAATCAAACACATTTAAACAAAAATGTGAAGTTATTCAAATTGTGCACATGTGCATTGGTACAATGTTTCCTATCTAAACATAAAAATTTTTAAATTACACCTTTGAACTCAAATTGCTTGTAAACAAGGAGTACAATAATAAGTACAGTACATGGAACAGAAGTCCTAGGCAAGTTCACAGCATGCCCACCATGCTGTAGAAAGTACATCATTCTCTTTAAAATTGATTGCTCTCCAGTTCCTAACAACCTTGGGACCAACTAAAAGAACATAAACATGATGTAAGTAAGAAGTTCTCCAACACCACTCTAGTGGCATCACCATCCAAAGTATACACGGATGGATTTTAAAAGTGTGTATCTACTACATTAGACCTTGTATCCCAAACATTTGAGATATTTAGAGGTTATTGAAATTTACAAGGCTGTTATGAACTTGCCTAAGGCTTACATTTTATTGTACTACTTGTCTACAGGCATTTTGTTTAAAGCTGTAATTTTTTATTTTATATATATTAAGTTTAGATATAATTTTTAAATTTCTACATTTAGATTATTAACACCATTACAATGTGCATGTGAGCAATTCAAACCATTTCAAATCTTTAAATTTTAATGTGTTTGATTGCTTAGCTTAATTCTGTTCAGTATTTGTTATGACATACCTTATGATGTTTGTTAGAAAGGGATAAAAACTTTTGTATCAGTAAATACTTTTTTCCTTTTACTGATTTGGATATATTTGTGTTTTTTCATTCCATACAACCATTTTTTGAAGTAGTAAATGTTTTATAGTTTAATGATTTGGCATTGGAAGAGAGCAAGCACATCTTTAGCTTGATGTTGAAGTATTCTGAAAAGGAAGAAAAACATTTGAATAGAATATAATGGATTGGATTCTGAAGATGGACAGAAGTACAGAAGTGCTTAATCATGTAGATGGAACCAAGAATGCATTATGTATAAGAACTGAGATAAATGTATTTATAAAGCACAAGAGTTGGAAGGCAATAACAGGGACAATTTGTGGTAATGTACCAGCCTTGTGGGGACAGAAAACATAAATCCAGCAGGTATTCTGTGTATGAGTAAGTCTAAAAAAGGATGATAGGATATGATTTATATAAATAATTATTAAATGATTACAAATTTCCATGACGAGATGTAAAGATACCCTTTTTAAATGTACTCATACACAGAATACCTGCTGTACTTATGTTTTCATATAAATGCTATATAAATTTCATCAAATGACAAAAGCCAAATTCTCAAAATTATTTCACAATGTTTTATCTTGTTTGGATATGTTTAAAAAAATAAACAGATTTGTGTTGCTCTAAAGATACATTTTATTGCAATACAGTAACTTTAAAAATTTCATTGAAATCACTGTATTTCTTGTGATCTTTAATCATTATAAATTTCTCCAGTGGCTTAAAGAATCAATGTTCATTTTTTGACATCAATTAGAGTTAACAGAACAACTAAAGCTATTGGATATAACATACTAACCTAACCACTAAATTGAATCCAGGAGCAGTATACACATAAAACTTTGCAAATTTAAAAATAATTTATTTACTTGGATTTCAATAGAAACAATTTGTTTTTAATTTTAAATTACAAATTACAGCATTTAATATTGTAATCCAGTTCAAAACAACTGTTTTGTTATTTTCATTATTAAAGCAATAAAGTATAAAAACTATTTCATAAAACTACAAATTCCTAATCCTATCAATTTCTGTTTTCCAATGCATGTGTCAACTGTCTTAACAAATTGTTAAGATTTGTCACAGAATGAAAAATGCCAACTATAACAGAAAGTGTAATTTTTCAAGTTGAAGTGAGCATCATTAGCTTGATGTATGGTATAGTAGTGTTGGTCCACCCTCTGGGTGTACCAAGAGGCTTTGGCATCCTCCAAAGTAAAAGGAAAGAAATATTATAAAGTTTTTCAAAATTATTTTCCTAATTAATGTGTCTTTTTTTTATATTATGTCATATCTTCTTTTTCTACACTACTTATGAATTAGCAGTCACATAAGGTGAGAATTTTATCAAAAGTGTTTTTATCCATTTAACTTGGCTCAAGATTAAATCCTGAATGTATATATCTGTATTGCAAATGATGACAATAATATTGATGCAGAAGTGTTGTGACCAGCATTCAAGTTGAAAAACACATCACTGGTCGTGATGTAGTTGTGTAAATGATATAATGTATTTATTATTGAATTCATTCATATCATCATGACCCATGATATTAGTTATATATTAACCAATATTTTTTACTAATGAAACTTTTTAACATTAAAATGCCTATCCTTAATCCATGGGACCACCAATCTACTTTGCATGAACTGATAGCATTATAACAAGGTTTGACCATTTCTAAATTTAATCTTAATTCTGATTATTAAATATCTTATACCAACTACTTTTAATACAAAATTTCATACTAATATAATTAATTAGTATATATACAGTGGATTCTTATTAGTTAATGCTAAATGGGGTTTATGCTATTAGTTAATATTCTCAGTTTTTGATGCCTCAGCAGAAATCCTGCATTTTAGTCTATATCATTCCTTTTCAGGAAAACCCACTTAACAGCTACCACCAACTGTTTTTCTAATTTAAAATATATGCATAGTGT